TCTACTACCATCACAACTAATCATAATCATAATCTACTACCATCACAACTAATCATAATCATAATCTACTACCATCACAACTAATCATAATCATAATCTACTACCATCACAACTAATCATTATCTACTACCATCACAACTAATCATAATCATAATCTACTACCATTTCATCTAATCATAATCATAATCTACTACCATCACAACTAATCATAATCATTATCTACTACCATCACAACTAATCATAATCATTATCTACTACCATCAAAACTAATCATAATCATTATCATAGTAAGCACTATTAAATAATAAAACTTATTATTAGGTAATGCTAAGTCTTCCTCCTTGCTCAACTCACCCCGAGGTGTTGTAACCCTGACAGTTGTGCGTGGCACAGCAGCGTGACACTTTGCATAGGGTGACAGGGAGCACTTGCAGAACTGGTGCTTATACGTTGTAATCCTGAAAGACACAGTACAGTCTTAGCCAAGGAGAGCACAGTCAGATCTGGGAGTAATGGAATACATGTGGTGGTGTTACATAATCAGAATACAAAAAAAGTAACTATTTTCCGTAACACTTTATTTTAAGGAACACATGTTGGTGGCTTATTATTTCTTCAATAAAGCCTGAATTAGACTCTTTCAAATGGTTTATTCACTATGTATTAATCTTTATTCATTATGACCCATGTTAGTACATAATTGGAGATCTGTTACATGAAAATCACAAATAGTTGCCTTATTAGTCATTATAGCTCACAATAAGCACTTTCTTAATACCTTGTTATGCTGAATTACTGAGCATGAATTATCACCTAAATTCAGGTCTTTTTAGTGTGCAATTGGCAGCATGTGATTTCTACAGGTTCTAGATATCATCAATACATTATTGCATTGTTGGAGTTTATTTCTTCTTTAGAGCTAGAAAGAGTTTAATTTGTCACTAATACTTCAGGATTTGTTTCATATTCTAAATTGGAGTTATTGTCATCATATAATTAGAGGCTAAAAAGTGCTAAATAGAGTTTCAATAAGTCTATTTGTGTACTATACTCTAAAGTGGAGTTATGGTCATCACTAATTAGAGGCTAAAATGTGATAAACAGGGCTTCAATCATATTCGAAAATGAAGATAATTTCATGATGTTTTAGTAGCCAAAAGAGCTGGAAAAGAAAAAGAAAATGTAAACTGAAAGACTGGCTCAACTGCCAATATTTGAATCTGAGACTACTTAAGCCATAACAATTCTTATTGGCCTATACCAGCAATATTTATAAATTAGCAATTATGAAATTAACTCAATCTGCAAGTAACTACAATTTCCAAACAGGCTTATTAACAGGCAAATTGGCATTACCCCCCAAAAATGTGAACAGCAAAACCTTTTCAGCTTGATATCTGCAGCTTATTAAAAGATCTTAACACTTAACAGATCTTAACAGATCTCCAATTATGTCAGGCTTTACTGAACAAATAATAATACCTTGATAAGCCACCACCATGTGTTTACCTTAAAATAAAGTGTTACCCTATTTTCTAGAAATAAAGAATAATCAGATTCCAGATTACATTATGAAAAATAAGACTAGTAGCACAATAACCTTAAAACCACTTTTACACAGCACTGTTGATGATTCTTTTGGAAGTGGTCGTCTCTTTGCCCTCAAACTTCACTTTATTTATCCAAATAATATGGCTTTAAGATAATAATTTCTGCTAGTGTCTCTATGGGAGTTGCAATGCTGTGTTATTGTCAAGCTACATTTATGGTGTACATTTATTTTATCGCACATGGTCTCAGGGACATTTCTTGCAAAATCAGTCACAAAGCTACAAAGGGCCTATGATTTTTTTTTTTAAATATTTTTGTCAAATGAAAATTTTCAACACTTAAACACAAACTGAAATGTATTTAATTTGTTTGTATTATTTTGAGAATCATTTATTATTTTTCACACACAAGTGATGTGAAGATTGTATTTCCCTTCTATGCAGTTAATCATATAATTACTTTGCATTCAAAATAATATGATCGAGGTGGGTGGAGACCCTCAGGAAGGATGTCACTTAGGTCCACCACCCTCAGTTATTCACAGGAGGTGAGAGGCGATATGAGCTGATGGAAGGAGATCATCAGTCAGTCTTAGTTGCCACCAGTTCTTCTTTCTCAGCTTGGTGTGTCTGAGCTATTAGACATATGTGACTCACATGTAGCCCTGCTTTGGGCAGCCAGGAGGTGTTTTTTCGATTACTAGGATTTCTCTCTCTGGAATTGTGAAAGTGACGAAGTTGGAACAGCACTGAGGATCAGGAGGGCCAATAGGATGAGCTGATGAAGAGGAGAAGAAAACATTCTTAGTTTATGTGTTTTATTACCGTAAACACCAACACACCTTCATCAGCTCCACTACAGCTACACCTGAACACAAAGTACATGTTAAATACAGACTGTTCAGGGTTAAACAGTTGTGTCCAAACATCAAAATCTGACTTCTTATTATTAAACATCCAGAAACAATATATACATTCTGGGAACATTCTGGATACAGTACTACAACAGAGTAAATACTACTACTACTACTACTTATAATAATAATAATAATAATAATAATAATAATACCAGTAAAGTAATTAGAATATTACAATTAGGTTATTATTAGTAGTATTACTAATAGTAGTAATAGTTCATCTTAATAATTTTGTAATTTGTTTAGATGCTATACTATAGCAGTTGTTTCTATTAGGATTACTAATAACACCACCACCACCACCACCACCACCACCACCACCACCAACAACAACAACAACAACAATAATAATACAAACTCCAATTCCAAAAAAGTTGGAAAGATAATGTGTAAACTGTAAATACATATGAATAAAAAGAATGCAATGATTTGCAAATCTCATAGACCCATATTTTATTCATAATAGAATATACGACACATATGAGATGTTGAAAGTGAGACAATTTACCATTTTATGAAAAACATGAACACGTTTAGAACTTGATGGCAGCAATGCATCTCAAAAAAGTTGGGACAGGGCCGTGTCTACCATTGTGTAGCATCCCCTCTTCTATTAACAGCAGGCTGTAAACATCTGGGACGTGAGGAGACCAGTTGCTGGAGTTTTGGGAGAGGAATGTTGTCCCATTCTTGTCTGATGTAGGATTCTAGCAGTCCTGGGTCTTCATTGCCGGATTATCGTTTCATGATGCGCCAAATGTTTTCTATTGGTCAAAGGTCTGGACTGCAGGCGGTCAGTTCAGCACTCAAACTCTTCTTCTGCGAAGCCATCCTGTTGTGATGGATGTGGTTTAGCCTTGTCTTGCTGAAATATGCAAGGCCTTCTCTGAAAAAGACACTGTCTGGATGGCAGCATATGTCGTTCTAAAACTTCTATATACTGTTCAGCATTGATGGAGCCTTTCCAGATGTTTAAGCTGCCCTTAGACACTAATGCAACCCCAGACCATCAGAGATGCAGGCTTTTGAACTGTGCGTTGATAACAAGCTGGATGGTCCCTCTCCTCTTGAGTCTGCAGGACGCAACGTCCGTGGTTTCCAAAAGAATGTCAAATTTTGATTCATCTGTCCACAGAACAGTTTTCCATTTTGCCTCAGTCCATTTTAAATGAGCTTTGGCCCAGAGAAGATGGCGGCGTTTCTGGATCGTGTTGACATATGGCTTCTTCTTTGCTTGCATGATACAACTTTAACTTGCATTTGTGGATCACACAGCAAACTGTGTTCACAGACAGTGATTTCTAGAAGTGTTTAAGCCCATGTGGTGATTTCCAGTACAGAATCATGCCTTTTTTTAATGCAGTGCTGTCTGACGGCCTGAAGATCACGAGCATCCAATATTGACTGTCGGCCTGGTTCTTGCGTACAGGGAATTCACCAGATTCTCTGAATCTTTTGATGATATTATGTACTGTAGATAGTGGGATATTCAATGTCTTCACAATTTTATGTTGAGGAACATTTTTCTGAAATTGTTCCACAATTTTTAGATGCAGTTTTTCTCAGATTGGTGAACTTCTGTCCATCTTTGCTTCTGAGAGACTCTGTCTCTCTAAAATGCTCTTTTTATACCGTCATGTGAGTTAGTTGCAAATTGCTCCTGTCCCAACTTTTTTGAGATGTGTTGCTGCCATTAAGTTCGAAATGAGTTAATGTTTTTCATGAAATAGTAAAATGTCTCACTTTCAACATCTGATATGTGTTCTATGTTCTATTGTAAATAAAATATGGGTCTATGAGTGTGACGTGTCAACAGAAACCAGACGCTCGCGGAAGTAAAAGATGCTGGCGTTTAATAATACTAGGCGAACAAACCGAAAAAGGGCAGAGCAATACACGAAGTCAAAAATACAAGCAAAAAGTTCCAAAACACAGATCAGTCCGTAGAGGCAAAAGCACAAAAGGGAAAAGACAAAAAGGCAGAGTCGATATACACAAAGCAAAGGTTCAAACACGGGATAATGGCAGTCAGTATACAAACGCTCGGTAGTTCAACAGGAAACAATACTTTGCACTGAATTAGACTAAAGCCCGGGCTTATAAAGTAAACTACACAGGTGCTGCTAGTTAATATTCAGGTGATTTGGAGCGCTGATTGGAACGTAAGCCAGTGTCAGAAGTCACGTGATCTCCCATAGAATTGTGGGCAATGGAGTCCGTGTCGGAGTCGGAGTCCGAGGGAAGTTGCCGAGTCATGTGATCTCCCAGAGGATTCTGGGAGATGAAGTCCGTTTCTTTCAGAGAGTTCACCGAATGCGTGACAATGAGATTTGCTAATCATCGCATTCCGTTTTTATTTACAGTTATTTACATTTTACACAGTGCCCCACCTTTTTTGGAATTGGGGTTGTAATAATAATAATAATAAGCAGAAGAAGAAGAAGAAGGACAAGAAGAAGAGGAATAGCTAGCACTAATACATTATATATTGTATTATTAGGGAACACTAGGACGTCTTCCTCCTTCCACAACTTGCCTCGAAGTGTTGTAGCCCTGGAAGTCACAGGTGGCCAAGGTTTCCTTGGCCGTATAAAGGAAAATAGGTCTTTCATGCAGTGCCTGCCCTTAGTTGTGGTAAAGCTGAAAGACATGGATAGCACAGTCAGAGTCAGGGAGTAATGGAATAAATGTCATGGTGTCACATATTCAGAATACAAAAAGGCAACTCTATTCCATTACAGGTACAAAAAAGAACATCTCAGAGAGGCTGATTCTTTAAGAAGTAAAGATGAGGAGAGGTTCACCATTCTGTGAAAGACTGCACGATCTGGCGAAATCTCTATATGTAAGGGACAAGGCCAAAAAACAGTATTTGCAAGCTGTGATCTTTGGGCCCTCAGGTGGCACTGCATTAAAAACAGACATGATTCTTTAGTGGAAATCACTGCATGGGCTCAGAAACACTTCTGAAAACCACTGTCTGTGAAAACAGTTCATCACTGCATCCACAAATACAAGTTACAACTCTAAAACACAAAGAAGAAACCATATATAAACAGGATACAGGAATGCTGCCACCTTCTCTGGGCCTGAGCTCATTTAAAATGGACTGAGGTAAAGTGGAAAAGTGTCCTGTGGTCCGACAATTCAAAATTTGATATTCTTTTTGGAAATCATGGACACTGTGTCCTCCAGACTAAAGACCACTCAGCTTGTTATCAGCATACAGTTCAAAAGCCAGTATTCATGAGTGACGTGCACATCTGTGAAGGCACCATTAATGCTGAATGATATACACATGTTTTGGCAACTTAGGCTGCCATCCAGATGACGTCTTTTTCAGGGAAGGCCTTGATTATTTCAGCAAGACGATGCCAGACCACATTCTGCATGTATTACAACAGCATTGCTCCATATTAAAAGAGTATGGGTGCTAAACTGACCTGCCTGGAGTCCAGACCTGTCACCCATTGAAAACATTTGGCTCATTATGAAATGAAAAATACAGCAAGGGAGAGCCCGAACTGTCTAGCAGCTAAAATCCTATATCAAACAAGAATGGGAAAACATTTCACTTTCTACAGCCGTGTCTCCTCAATTCCTAAACACTTACAGAGTGTTGGTAAAGGAAGAGGTGATGAAACACAGTGGTAAACATGCCCAGGTCCCAACGTTTTTGGAATGTGTTTTTGGCATCAAATTCAACATGGGTATATATTTTTCTAAAACAATACAATTTCTCAGTTTCAACATTTGATGTGTTTCTTTGTAGTATTTTCCTTTTGTCTTTATTTCGTTATATGGATTTTAAAATGATAATCAATCTTTTCCTTTTACTTGATTTTCATATCATTGCATTCTATTTTTATTTACATTCTGCACAGTGTTCCAACTTCTTTGGAAATGGGGTTGTACTTTAATTTGCCAATTAGCTAAATGTGAGCTCGGCAATTTTTTGTGTGTGACACAATAACATTTATAACACATATTTAAAAAAAAAAAAAAATACAAGATAATACATGAATATTATGTCGCCTAGTGTATAATTTTGTTATATTAATCAGAGCAGTTTTCCTGTTTGTCTTTGATAAGTAAAGGTTGTCTTGACTTTTTTTCTGTTGTCTTTATTTGATTATATGGTATTAAAAAGATAAGTAATGCAAAAGTAATAGAAAGTAATCAGCTTATGTTACTTCAATACAGTGATCACTTAGGTACACATGATGCTATATTACAGGTTTGTAAGAGTCAGTCAGTAATCCGTACTGGTATACATGTTTAAAGTAACCCTCTCAACCCTGAACACAGTGAGCTGCTGCTGTACACAGTTAGAACTCACCTCATTCTTCTTACAGTCAACAGAGTCTCATGTACTGATATTCAGTAACAAATCAGATCTAATATACAGACAGATGTGTTTATATCAAAATAAAACAGTAAAAAATTTGTATATGAGTTAAAGTTAGGTACTTACATAAAGCCAGGCGCTGGGCAGCGGGATGTGTTTTTACAACACGTATGATATTTTGTTCTGGAATTAAACGGACGAAGTCGAAACAGCACTGATAACGGCAAGGGCTAAACACTGAGGAATGGGAGAAGAAAACATTTTTAGTTTGTGTTTTAATTACTGTGAAAACCAACACGCCTTCATCAGCTCCACTACAGCTACACCTGAACACAAAGCACATGTTAAATACAGACTGTTCAGACAATTGTGTCCAAACATCAGCAACTACTACAAATCTTACTACTACTACTACTACTACTAATAATAATAATAATAATAATAATAATAAATAATGCTAATAATCATAATAATAATAGGCTATTAATAGCATCAGAGGAAATAATTAATATTGTTATTATTAGTTAATAAGTGAATATGAATAATCTTATATACTTTTATTATTTTTATTTATTTTTAATATTTTTTTAGAACTTCCATGTCAAAGAACATGTTTAGCTCATGTTCTAGTTCTTCTAAAGAGAATAAACGTCTGCACATTTTTATAAACAATTAGTATTTATTTGAAAAAATTACATATTGGAATATATATACATACATACATACATACATACATACATACATACAATATAAATATTGCTGTAGTCAGAAGAAAACCTTATATTTCCAAAATGGTAACTTTATAGGAGAAGGGAAAAACATATTTTAATGTAAGTCAGTGGAACCAGACTTTTTTCCAAGTCATTTTGGGCCGTTTCTTTTGGTCCATTCTTCATGAAATTCACACACAATGTAAAGAACAACAGATATTTTTAAAATATGTCAAGAACTGAAAAACAAGACGAGGTTTTCTTCTGACAGCAGTGATATGTTATGACACATTTTATATTTTACACTTTCCGTTAAACTGCAAAAACAAATAGTGTATATATGTAATAATTCTGTATGGAGGAAGTGTTCACTTATTTTCACTTTTTCATGTGAATGCACATCAGTATCAATTTTTAAAAACAGAAAACTTAAAATGTCAGAAACTCACTGCAAGCATCTGAGGAGACAGTCATCAGCAGGACCAGCCCCAGCACCAAACACACACAGCTCATCTTCATCGCCATCTTCTCTGCAGGCGTCTGAAGCTCTGAATGTTTCTCTCTTCATCTCAAGTCTCTCTTTTATAAAAAAATTCACTTCATTTTCAGTCATTCTTTAAAGATTCTGCCCCCTCTGCCTCCTCCGTTCACCACATCTTCCTCTCAGAGCTCAGAGCAGAAACTCTAGAGTGAAGATGACCCATGATGATAGCAGCTCTGATGTATCTGATAAGCTCAGTGCTCTAAACATCAGATAGTTGCTGAAAACCTGTGACGCAGTTTATTTGTTATGTAATTGATCATTAAGCACCATCCTTTAAATTTAGTAAATTAAACTCAAACTGTTAAATAACAAAATTTTTCAAATGAAATTGAACGTATATTTGAAAACTATGCAAACAGCTTTTTAAACTCTTATTTGGATTGTGTTTCTGTAAAGTTGCAAGTACATTAGCTTATCTTTTAAGTGAAAAAATAGTAGTTTCTAAAACTGCAATTCAAAAAAATGATTAAAATCTACAGAGAAAATGGGGCTCCTAACAACCACCTGGAAGAGCTGATAGGCACCAAAACTGCCCCCATCAGATAAACAGCACTTAAAGCTTTCATCTCTGAGAGAGAGGAGAAAATCAAGCTGCTTCAGATCTGAAAACATCCACAGGTGTTTCTGTCCATCCTTCCACTGTGAGAAGACGACTCAGCGCTGTGGGTCTGAAAGGATGTGCAAGTGAAAAAGAAGATAAAAAAGTTAAAGAGTAGATCGTAAGGATTGGTAGAAAGAGTGAATTGTTACTCATTTCTAAAACCAAGGGTGGCCCCACACCTCCAAAAGTAATGGATCAGAACTTATTGTTTTAAAAAAATCAACACAGCTGGCTGAGGAACCAAACGCAACTAATCCAATTCATGGTATAATAATTACATGCCAGCCTGTTAGTAAACAGAATCCGTGATTGTTTTGATCCTTCACTTCACTGATTTCAGCCTCAAACTGCAGCTAAAGTGCACCAACTCACACAGATGGGCTTTCACTACCATGAAAACAGGCACTTAATGTCTATGTTCATCATAAAGCAACAGGTCGCTGATTCTTGGTCAAAAATATGCTCCGTGATCCATGTTCAGAAATCGAAAGCATTTATTTACTATTGTTTATTGATCTGCCATTGTGAACAGCAGCTTTTGCTGCAAGAACAATATGAGTGTCTGTAAAATGTGAAATGTTAAAACAGGCAGATTATGCTGACAGTACAGCTCTGATGTGCACTAAGAAAAGTGTGCTTTTATGTTCTCATTTGATTCGGACCACGCAGGGGTCACTAGAAGTCAACTGAGACCCACGATTTCTGCCAGACTGGTTTAGTTGTTCGGTGAATACAGGGGGGAGGTGTTCACAAGTCAAAATGGACTGAACTACAGAAAAGTTTTGATAGGTCTGCACCAAACAATGTGGGTGTGAAAAAGCCCTCAGTTAAGAAATAGTTAATCAGACATTTAGTAATACCACACAGCATAGTGACAAACTATGACTGAGTGCATTAGTTCATGTATCACAGTCAAAGCATTTTGACTGGATTAGTGAGCTGCAGCTCCTCTCACTGAACACGTTTAATCAACATGACTAGACCTAAACTTCATTTCACGAGTGCTCTTAAAAAATCCAGAAAACACATATGACTTCAGAAACGCTGCAAAGCCAGTCATAACACACCGGAAGTGTTTCTGGGAGATTCTCAAAGGAGATGCAATATCTGTGATGCAAAATCGCTGACGGAAGTTGATAAGACCACAGAGACTCATGTTCCAGTAAGCTCCTGGATAAGTTGGCTGGCTGGTTAGCTATCTGACATCATATCTGCACTACAGAAGTTTTTGGTCCTGGCATTGCAGCAGTGTGCGAAATACTAGTATTGGGTCCCATGTTGGCTCACTAATCGACAGTGGTGGACGAAGTACACAAATCATGTACCTGAGTTAAAGTAGAGATACCCAAGGTGAAATATTACTCCTGCAAAAGTAGAAGTTCCTTCCTTTTAGACCTCCACTTGAGTAAAAGTACAAAAGGTATTTTCCCTCAAATGTACTTAAGTATCGAAAGTAAAAGTACTAAAAGATTAACTAATTTAATGCAACTTAGTTACAAGTTTAATAAAAACTTGCTTTAAACTCAGGTTCACAGATGAGTTTTCCTTTACTAAACTGCATCTGTAGGTCTAAATAATTTACTATAAAATGAAATAGTGTTTTTATAAATTCAGAAAAAAGACACGTCAGTCACAACTGCATATGTGTACATATTTCCATATTGTGGTCTGTTTACACAAAGTTAGGTTAGTTCATCATTTATGTTGAATAGACTCTCCCAAAATTTACGCTGCTGCACTGATGTTGAACCGTGTGCTGCACTGGGTCGGTATGTCCAACAGGTCAAAACAAGCTCAAAACAAAGTGAGCGCTGTGCCCTGATTGGTGTTCTTACTTCGCGCTTCTTTTGTTTTGACGTGTTACATTTTTCTACACACATAAGACAAAAGGAAGGACAGATTTCTCATAATGTAGTGGAGTAAAAAGTGAGATATTTGACTTTGAAATGTAGTGGAGTGAAAGTAAAAAGTCGCCCATAATTGAAACACTTCAGTAAAGTACAGATACACGAAAAAACTACTTACACTACAGAGGCACTTTCTCTCTCTCTCTCTCTCTCCCTCTCTCTCTCTCTCTCTCCCTCTCTCTCTCTCTCTCTCTCTCCCTCTCTCTCTCTCTCTCTCTCTCTCTCTCTCTCTCTCCCTATAAAAATATAAACATTCACTTCATTTGAAAACACCTATAAAAGACTCTCCCCACACTGCCCCCTCCATTCACCACACTTCAGAGTGCAGAGCAGAAGCTTTAGTATGGAGATGATCCATGATAGCAGCTCTGATGTATCTGATAAGCTCAGTGCACTAGACATCAGACAGTCAGTGAAGGCCTGTGACAGTCTGTTCATGCATTAAGCCATTAACATATCATCCTTTTCAGCCAATTCAGCAAATTAAACCCAACTTGTTATATATTTATCAAAGCTACTATGATGCATACATGGAAACACTTTACACAAACAGATTATCTTTTTAAAATCTTCTTATCTGGCTTATGTTTCTGTAAAGCAGCAAATACAACGATTAGCAACCACCTGGAAGACCTGGTGGACATTAAACTGTTTCCATCAGATGCAAAACTTTAGGTTAACAAAAAGTCACAAACTGCTGTAATACTGGTTACACAGATTACGTTAATACAGATTTAAAAAAAAACCTTTGTCTTTGATTTTGTAAGATCAATAACTCTCGCTGGCTAAACTGTTGTAAAATGCTTGGATAATTAGCTAATGAAGCTTTACATTAACTAGCTAACACACGTGTGTAATATAGTCCCACTGTAAAGCTGCTACAAGCCTGCAGGGATTTTCTGTTTCATGTTTGTTTTCAGAATCTGAAAAACTACCAAACGTTGACCAAACGGGTACCTTGTTGTGACCAGCAGTGGGTGCGGTGAGGTGAGGGGTATGTATGGTTTAAATTGAAAAGAGCATATCAGAGTTCTGTCTTTGCCCTTTAATGCATGTTTTATTGGTTAACATGCCCTAATTTCTGCACTTGAAAGAAGATAAAACAGAGACTATTTTCTTTGGGAATAGCAATGAGAGGCGCATTCAGCTATCAGCTATCAAGAGCCCTTAAATCTAAAGAACTAGTACGTAACCTTGGTGTACTGGTGGACTCTGATCTCAGTTTTATCAGTCGTGTCAAAGCACTTACTAAACCAGCTTTTTATCACCTTAAAAACATCAACAAGATCAGAGATGTTCTGACTAAAGCAGACCTGGAGAAACTCAACACCTTTATGTCTAGCAGGATTGATCACTGTAATGGTCGCCTAACTGGACTCACAAAAAAAGACAATCAAACAGCTTCAGCTGATTCAGAATGCAGCTGCCAGAGTCTCACTAGGAGTAAAAGAGGGGAGCACATCCCCACAAATGGATAATTCCACTGATTTTTCAACTTTTCTGCATAATTCAGTGTTTAACATGTAAACAGAGTGATTAAGAGTGGTTTGGTGTGAAATGGTTGATTGTAGAGACTCAGATGTCTTTACAGTGGTGGTGATAGGAACCAAGGGCTGCCATGACTACAACACAAATATAGACATTTTATTTACCATCCAAAACCACCAGTGAACCTACACGAGTCTTCTGAGTTTACACGGAATATAGATGATCTTAAAATAGTGAAAAATCTGAAAAGATAAGTTTTCCTTGGGGACTACGTTGCTTTACAACACACTGCATGTATCCCTCCACCAAGAATAGAGAACTGTGTTGAAAATGTCTTCCATATCAGGCGGCATATTCATCATCATTTCATGTTTTTTTTGCTTGCAGAAAGTAGATGAAGAGGGCCAAACACGTTTTTTACATTTCTCCTTAATCAATAAACCAACTTTTCCACCTCATCCAAACTTTTTTGCAACATTTTTTTTCTGTCTTTTCCAATGAGGGTTTTTAATGCACATTTTCAAATTTCACCAAAAAAATTGCATGGAGGTCGATGGAAAACCCCCAGGTGGCAGCACAGACGTGCTCTACACAAACAGATAGAAACCAAGATCTGAAATTGTCTCTGTTCTTAAGTTTCTCTCTGCAGATACAGATTCTTATTTGTATGTTGTTGAGGTTTTTGTGACTTAGCCGTAAAACAGAAACAGGTCATTCAAAAAGCTGTGTTTCTGATCAGGACTCACATGCAGGATCTGAAGGATGTGACCAATAACGTTCACTACGAGAACTACCGCAGCAAGAAGCTGGCCGCCGTCACCTGCAACGGAGTGAACACCAGCAAGAGCAAGGGTCAACTGACCAAGTATGCCACCTTCTGACCATTCAGAGAATTACAACCGTTACAGTACAACAGTATGCTTTTATTCAGATATTGCATATATTCTGTTTACCACTAGAAAGAGGCTTTTAGTCTAGACTTCTGACAGAATAGTCTGTTTGTGTAAATGTGTGTGTGTGTGTGTGTGTGTGTGTGTGTGTGTGTATCAGTGCTCACCCAGTCAGGCCTTTATGGACCTTGCTTTGTGCACTGGGGCTCAGTCATGCTGGAACAGAAAAGGTTCTTCCCCAA